GCTGGAGTGTTGTGGGGATCGAACTACAGCAAACTGAGGCTGCCAGCATTGTGGAAGCAGCCACTTAAAGAACTGAGCTAGGGCTGGGCCCCCGAGTATGTTTTACTTAATATTTTAGTAAACATCACTGTGTGATACATGCTTTTTATATGCAGACCAGAATTTGGAAATACAGCTCAAAATGTATAAAATATTACTGCTGCTTAAAAGTAAATTGTCTTTTTGTTGTTGTTATACAGGATCTCACTACACTCATAGGATCCTCCTGTTTTTACCACACCCACACCTACACCCACACACACAGAGCGCTGGGATTATGGGCCATGTGCCACCATGCCCAGTCTGGGTCACCAGCTCAGCGAGGGGGAGGGGGGAAGCATGGGGTAGTGAGGATCAAACCTCAGTCCCTGTGCTTGCCTAAGCAAGCGCTTAGTCCACTGAGCTATCTCCCCAGCCCTTAAATTAACTCATTCAATAACACTACCTAATTAGAAGCCAACCTAAAATAACTAAGTCTCAATTTAAGGTGAAATCTGTGATAGCAGATTTTCAAAGAATGCTAAAGGACTGAATTATGTTTTTTTGTAAACTGCTAAAAGTATTAAGTATTATGTAACTACTTATTTCTCATTCCGTCTTAACTTTTTGGCCTCTTCCACTTGGTCTACTGGTCTGGCATTTTAATATTCTAACCCGATTTTAAAATGTTCTTTTAACTTTTCCTTTTCTAAGTGACCTAGTCCTGGGTTTAGCCGTGACCAATATGAATTACGGTTCTTGAGCTTTTGGTCTAAATCTGCATTAACCATCCAGTGGAAACGTCCACACGATTTCTCCTAGTCACTTTTAAGTTCAATCGGTTCAAAACAGAATTTTATTACCATCTTGTACCTTCATCTATAGTTCCTAGACTAGTATTTAACCTCCTTAAAGATTCCTCCTATCTCAAAAGTCTTCCCTAACTGCCCAAACCTAACTAGGTGGCCTCTGGTTCCCTACAAATGTTCATTTTTCTCTCAAATATAGTCCATCAGCTCAAGCATTCACTACCTCTCCAATCTTCTGACACCCATGCGTTTTCCACATCCCCAATTAAAACTCACACTACTAAGAATTATGATTTTCCACAATGTGATTCCTGCTGCTTCTCAATCTTACACCAACTGTCTAACCACTTGAGTACTAGAATTCTCTATACTATGTTGCCTCACCAATTCTGCTATCTGAAGCATACATATACTTGTGTTTTTCATGTTCAAGATTCAAGTTTTACTCTTTTGCAAAAGTCTACCATTTCTTCCTTTGGGAAAAGCACTACATACATTCAGAAAGTTTCTCTTATGACTAGTCTAAGCCAAGAATTGGTACACCTTCACAATAGTATTCCTAGTACCTAGCATAAGAGGTAACCTATTTATTTATTTTTAATATATTTAGTATAGGATCTACAGGGTCTCACCACATAGACTGGACTTGTAGTGATCTTCCTGTTTACAGCCTCCCAAGCACTGGGATTACAGGCACGCGCCACCATGCCCAGTCTTAATCGCCCTCTCAGCACGCCGCAGGAGCAGGGCTGGCACGGCCCTGCATCTACCTAAGACGTGCTTTAATACGCTGGGCTATCTGGCTGGCCCTAATTTACAAATTCTTAAATCAGAAAGTAAATAGTTTTAAATTTTTCTATGACAGATAAACGTTTTGTTACACTCAGATTATTAGCTCAAACAACCTAGTATTTTTGCTTCCAACAAGTATAAACTGAGCAAAAATAAAATAATGGCCACTGTAAAAACATACATAACTTTTTCAAACTCCAGGGTCCTTAATCCACCATAGAGAAAAATTTAATTTCTGAAAAGTATATCATTCATTTTCCAAACGAAAGTCACTTCAGAATACAGCTTTCTAATCTAATTAAGCCAATCTGCCATGAACATTTAGGTTTACTCAAATATACTGATAAAGTCAAATGAGTAACAAAACCCTCCAAATCCACTTGTTTTCTTACTTGTTCTTATTCAGCAACTTATTTTCAACCTACCCCCTGAAATATAACTGCCCTGAAAAGTCGTAACAAAAGTGAATACCTCCTGGTAACAGTTTTGGTATTGTGTGTCTCTGTAATGCAAGATACATCCATGACAAACTACATAAAATTATCCTTTATCTAGAGACTTCAAAATACACTATCTCTCTCTCTCTCTCTCTCTCTAGAGCTTTATCTTTAGAAAACTTCAGAGAGAAAAGCATACCATCACAACGAAACATCCAATAGTGAACCCTGCAACTTTTCCAAATATAATTTTGTGTCTTCCTTTTATTCCAAAGAAATCTGATGGCTTTCTTAAGACCATTTATGGTATGAAAATATGTCTTGCATTTAAAAAACAGCTGTGATAAGAGAAGAAACATCTTAATGACAAGTTTCTGCAACTATCACTGTCTTACAGTCAGATATGAAACATATGTTACACTTAACTAGAATATGTTCTCTCAAAATGCGGCCATCACATCAGGTATACTTGTATTTTGCCCTGATCAGCCTATACATGTCAAGAAAGTACTGTATAAACAAGAATGAAGGAAAAAAATAATAGACTGAAGGGACCAACATTTTCAAAATTCCTTTGAATTTAAATTATTAAAAATAAAAAGGTCCCCCGCATGAAAGTGAAATCTTCTACTTTATAGTTGATAATCTATACTCAAAAGTTGTCACCTAATGTTTTGAAACTTAATGCAAACCACATAAACATAGATTTCTAACACCCACCAAGAAGTACTTCTTGCTCTTTGGGGTATATTCTGGATCCCATTCCTCTTCCTTCGGTCTCTTTTGAAAAGTAGTATTTGAGTTGTTTGGACCAGTATTTGTCCCAGCAAAAACTCCTCTGGCTCTTCCTCTGCCTCTAATTCGAAACTGATTAACATTAACAGAGTTGTTTAGTAATACAATCAAAAGTATTTAGTTACATGCAAACACTAATTTTACTGCAGTAACAATAAAACAAAATATATATGCCCTGATGCCCTACCTAAATCCCGGTTTTATAAACACTGAGGACAATGATTGCCATTTTCTATCACAGGCAAAAAAAAAAAAAAAAAAAATTCTGCCTACTCAAAGCTGAGTAGGTTAAGAAATAATGTGTGCGAAGACTACACTTTCATGCCTTGAACTAAAAATTTAAAATGAGTACTCAAGTTTTTCCTCCTTTTCCTCATCAAAATAGTCCAATGCCTTTTAATTATCACAGAAGCCCCAACTATTCAACCATATCTATTGTCATATGAGAAAAGTTTTCCAAATAACCTAATTAATAAAGCCTACACCAATATCCACCTGTATGTAACTCAAGCTAGAATCAAACTAGAAATTAAAGAGCCAAAAAGATGTACTATATAGAGCAACTTCAGGGAAACAGGAGAAATGGATATGCTACATAGAATAAAAAGGAAAGTTCTGATTTGTATGACTGATATAAACAAGGACTTGAAGAAAACACACAAAAATGAAAATAGTTGTAAGAGACAAACATAAGCATTTTTTAATATTTTAGACAACTTTTCAAACATTGAAGAAATACCTCTCAATTTTTCCTCACTCTTGGGTCTCTGAGGACTATGACACTAGCCTTAAAGTACGTAGACACTTCAAGACTTCAAAATGGCACTTCTTAATGAAGGTGATACTTTACCATTTTTCAAGACTAATTCTGATATTAGGAATAACTTACATAACAGATAATCTCTAAATCTTATTTGAATTTCTCTATGTAAGTAATCTAAGGTACAATGCTAATAAATGATCGAAGAATTTTAACTACTTACGAAGGTTCCACGTGGCCGGCTGACTCCTGCAAAGCCAGAGTACTCTTTCAGCTCATGGTGGGCTTTGAACTCCTCTTCTCGCTCCTTCTTACCCTCCTTCTCTTCCCGAGAACTGGGAGAGGAAGGTGATGCTGAAGAGGACGGAGACCGAGAACGATCTTGCTCTCTGCTTTTATGTTTACTGTAAAATAAAACAAAAAGTTCTATCTTTAAAAACAAAGAACCCTGTATAATCTTATAATAAGAGGGATATTTTTTAAGTCAAAAAACTATCCCCTATTAAGATTACATATGCAAAAATTGGGTGTTAAGCTGTGACAGAGTCTGTTTCCATTCTCCAAGTCTGTTTACATCACTACTATAAAACATGCTATGACCTGCCAGTTATAAGCTAGTAATCTGTAAGCTTCAAGAATGAGGTTCAGTTCTTCAATATTTTTAAGTTAACTTATAAAATCTTGTTATTTCAATGAAAAGGAAAGAAGAGTAGGAAAAAGAATTTCAAAAGGCCAAGTTTCAAAGTAACTGCAGTTTGTAACACCCTGGGTGAGAACAGTTCCTATGATTTGGGCCATAATACCATTATAGAAAATGAAAAACCATATGACATTACAAATACCAGTCATAAATTTAGAAACACAAGTAAAATCCACCATTTACCTAATGAACAGCAGGAAAAACGATTATCTATAATACTTTGTATTCCGATTACTTGACTCTATAATAATCAAATTTACATGATTCTAACACAAAACTCGAAAAGGTCATACCTGCAGTAACTCTTTCTTACCACTGCTAAAAGTATCCATGGAAACATTATTTTGAAAGACTAATACACATTGCTATTTCTAGGCCTTCCTCCCCCCATTTTTCCCATGTTAAACCACTAGATAATCAGTTTAAAATTCTTGTACTCTTGGGTGTTATGAGTTGAAAAAGTGCGGAATCAAGCATAACGAACCAAAGTTCTTACACAAACTGTTTCTAGAAATGCACTGCATTGAAGTCCAACCTCCTGATGTAGCCTGGATAATAGGACACATTAATTTGTCATTTTTTTTTTCAGTGTTAGCTTGCTATTCCAAAGTTTTTGTCCTCATCCACCATAAGCCGTGTAAAAGACAAATACATTTTTGCTGTAAAACAAATAATTTTAATTGTTTAAATTTAAACATTCGATTACATAATCAAAATTGAAAGCAATTAAGCTGACAATTATTATGGCTAATTAGAAGCTAAAACCTAACAGACAATTTTTTAAATTACCTGTCATCTTTGTAAGATTTGTATTCCTTGTAATCTTTTGGAGTTTTTTCCTGCTTTCTTGATCCACTGGATTCCCTGGAGCCCTTGGAATCCCCCCGTTCTTTACTTCTTTCTTTTCTACGGCGATCAATGTCATGCCGAAGGTCAGCAGAATCACACCTTAGTTTTTTATCTCCCTACAAAAGACACGTAAAACAGAGATCTCAGAAAAGAAATAGAAAAGATATATGATATTTATGCCAGTTTCTAAACTAGCATTTCAGTATCAGAAAAGAATGGATCAAGTACTATACTCCCATTATCCTTAGCTTAAGAACCCAATTATTTTTAAAAGTATTTGTGTAAAAGTGCAGTAAGATTGGAGAAGTTACTAAAAACTCATCTTGAAAATTGTTTTATTGAAAGCACTGTGTAAATTTTTGTACAGTACAATGTTAATCATTTTTTCCACTCAAAACATCCTCATTAACTATCACTCACTCATCCTAATAGCTTTTTTAAAATACTGAACAATGATAAAAGTTGTAATTTACACTGGTTCTGTAAAAGCCTGCCTACAAAGTTAAAGGATCCTAAAGTAATGGTTCTCATTAACTAAACCTGATTATGATCAACTTCTTCCCAAGTAAGTTGACAAACCCAATTTAAAAAAAAAAAAAACAAAAAACACTTCAAAAGAATTCTGCAATTTCCATAACATGCAAATGGAATATGATTAATAAAACCAATTGAGGTTGAACAAGGGTCGAAACAATGCCAGAAAGATATATATTCGCAATCCTGTACTCAGTATCTTGGGCCATATACTGCCCTTTGTCAATTCAGGTATTGCAACGGACATTAGTTTAACTGGGTCACAATTCACCTCCTTCTTGTTCCATTGCTTTTTCAAATACTATATAATTTAGGAAGATGGAAAGAGGCATCTAGGAATGAAGAGAAATTATACATCAGTAAGATGCTAAGCAATGTGGACATCCTTGCTAGTATTCAACAACATGAAGTATTTATTCTGGGAAGTCTAGCTATAATATTCATCGGCATTCATAAAACTAAAAGAAAGAAGTATCTCTCTGAAAGATAAACTCCTAAATAAACAAAGACAAAATCTAATCAATAGCATAAAAACTTCCTGTTCACCTAGGTTAAGTCCTCAAATATAAGTAACAAGTAAAACTTTTGTAAATTGGCAACTACACAGAATATATTAACTAAATATTAATATGTTAAGTATTCATTCAGCTAGACAGAAAAGGACAAAAACCAGCTTCATATTATCTTGTTCATGCATCAGTTCCTATTATTCCACATTAAAATCTGGTATGTGTAATGAGAAAATATTCACTGTTAGAGCAGGACAGACTCAATTATTGCAAAAACAAAATTAACACTGAACCATAGTACTGAAGTTAAAAGGAAAACAAGAACAAAAATTTAACTTCTCAAAGTGTTTCCAAATCAGAGAAATCATTTTTATATATTTGATTTCACACCCAGTTAGTAGCATGCCCTATAAAAAAAAAATTCACACTATCACTTTTAAAAGCTAACAACAGTATTTCAAAATAATCAAAGTATTCCACAATTATATAGAACAAATGTATTCGTTTTTATTATAAAAATCTAAGTTCAATTTTAATTATTCCAAAATATAGAGTACTTACTGATGGCCAGAATTAGAACCAAGTACTACTTCCAAAGGCTAATATTTTTAAAACAACTGTTGCCATCCTACCTTTTCTGTGCATATTTACTACCAAATATTGTATAGGTCATATATGTATGCTACACTACTTATTAAATGTCAAGTGTGAATTATCAAAATATATAAAGAATTCTTGAAATTTCCTTCTCCACAAGCCCTTCCCTATGCCTCAAGTAAAAGCCAATCCACAGATATTCCAATAACGGTAAATACTTTTTATTCCAAAGTTTCACTCATAAATCAGTTCTCAGAAGGTTTCTTAATCCATATCTAAGGGACAAATTCTGGTTCATTCACCTTACTTCAAAACTTTATAGAAGCCATAATATATAATTTTTTTAGGTTTGATTTTACTGTCTTCCTTTGCCCATATACTGTATTTTCTTAGGACTAATGGTTTCACTAAAGCATTTTCAAAAACTACTCTTGATTTAACACATTATACTATCATCTTAATTTCCCTGAGGGAGAAACACTAGGCACAGTGTTATAAATATGTTTCAAAGTTAAGAATATAAAACACCTATGAATGTTCTGCCTTAAAAGAACTCCATTTACTACAACTTCATCGGTTAAATTGAACTCAGAATGAAAATCAAGAAACTCAAAAACATACCTTCTGATTTTCTTCTTTAAAAACTCTCTCCTCTCCTGCTAAACGGGTATGCTTCCTCAGGGCACTTGGAGAGATGTCAATTCTCCTTAACATAAAATAAAGCACTTGTAGTCACAGTATTAACTTTATGGTTCAAAAGATTACATAAGATTTCCAATTTTCATGAAGAGATACTAAGCAATTATTTCTCTAACAATGTAATAACTTAAATTTTCTGTCAACTAATTTAACATAGTAAACCTATTTATTTTCTAAAAGACTTTTTTTTTCTGCAGTACCAGGGATTGAACTCAGGACCCCGTGCTTGCCAGGCAAGTGCTTTTTCTACCGAGCTATCTCCTCGGACCCAAAAGACAATTTTAAAATAAAAATTTTCATTAAGAAATGAAATGCAGGGGCCCTGCCCCTTAGCTCAGTTCTTTAAGTGGCTGCTTCAACAAAGCAGTCAGGCTCAGGTTGCTGTGGTTCGATCCCCACAACTCAAGCCA